TAATAAAGAAGAGAAAAAAAAACAGAAAAAATTCGAAGATTGTGTTTTTAATATCTTTCCTCCCATCTGGACCGATGGCAGATGTTTAAGTAACAGGATCAACTAGATCCGATATATCTGCGTCGTGGAATCCATGGCCCGTGAATCAAACATCAGTAACGTATTTCTTGGATTACACACCGAGTTTTCACGTTGGGCAATTTTTAAGCTCTAACTATTCTGAAAGGATGACATTTGGGTCTATTTTTAACGCCCGATTTGACCTGTTTCGATTACTTGATATGAAACAATTACTATCTGCTTAGTTATGTTCAACTTTAGTTTGATAAGATGATAAAAATACAACCATTCTCTGGATTTTCTTAATCTTTATTTATTTGTTCACAATTTTTTTTTTTGGGGGGAGGGGATAAAATTTCAACTACTTTAAATCTGTATTTAACCAAAACGTTCTCGATTCTTCCATGGATATTTGAGACAGAGGTTAAAAAGAGTAACTTCAGAGGTTTTTTTTTATTTTATGGATGTCGAGCTGCTGATGTTAGTTAGAACTGTTAACTCAATGTCATATATATCGTTGGCTGACCTGTTGGCTGATTTATTGCGAAATAACCCATATATATATATATATATATGGATTACAACAGTATTCGGTGTTATTCAAAGGACGAAATTTCTTTCTCCAGAATTCTTGTTCAGTGTTCCTTTCTGTGCACTGAAGAGCCCAAACGGAAGATATTTTATTGAAGATTATATTATATCTTACGCTCCAAGTCTTCGTGCCATGCGTCTTCTCCATTTACGTAATTCGCATCTCCAAAAACTACAAGGAAATCGAAATCGAAGGGTGAAAATATTTTTTTCTTTGGTTTTTTTACACAACACAGAATGTAATACAATTTAATCAGATTTCATATATACATACGTACATAAATTAAGGCTTATCTGTTTCGATTGAAAATGTGTCATTTTTTAACTGTGTGATTACTTCATGTCTCAATATATTTATTGGATGATATTTTTAATTCTATTAGTTTGTTATTAAAATATAGCATAATTAATTATATATCCTATTAATATCTGTATTTGTATTGACCCATTTTGTAAGGTTGGCTTTTAAATCAGCGTAACCATTTTATTGGTCAGAAGGAACAAAAAGTTTACCATGAGCATTTAAACGACTATAAATAAACCAAAAACAAGGATCATTGTATTATTAATATCCAGAAAATGACAAAGAACTGGAGTTGAAGATTTTTTTTCTTTTTATTATGGATTTGCTAAGAATATTAGGAGTAATAACATATGAGGGCACCTTCAACGTATTCTGAACTTTATTTTACCTATAATCCCAGGTTTTAGCTATTGGTAATCCAAAAATGGCCGTAGGCAACCTTCCAGAGCTAGAGTTTGCCGCCAAGGAGGCTTTCATGGTACAGAGAATTTTTGGTGCTGATGATTGCACAGTAGCAACAGGAGAACAGGCCAAGAAATCATTTGTTTTGGAAAAACTCAAAGAAGTGGACATTATTCATCTAGCCTCTCATGCAGCACCACGTGACCCAGTGGTAAGACATAACCGTACATAATAAATCGTTTTTCGAAAATATTGTTTCTGAAAACTGATATTTCACGTTTCACAGATCGGTCAAACTATCCTCGGGAAGAGTGTGAAAAGCAACCAAATCCCCTAACCATTGTTTTTGCACATTTGTATTGGATATGAATTGGTATATGTATTATTTTTGTTAAGCGTGTCTGGAGACCAAATAAGCTGGACAACCCCAACATTTTAACACCCAACTATAACCCAGCAGAATACTTTACAATGAGAAGGTCGGGACAGTAGGTGAAAACTTTTATTGAAACTGTTTTTGTTAATGACGTTGGATTTTAGTACGCATTGCCCATAGATTTAAGACATCTTTTGCTTCAGGTTTTTTTTTTAATTTCGTGCAAAGCTACACGAGGGCTATTACAATATATTGTGACTGTCACAATATAACGCCCCCACGGATGAAAGGGCGAGCATGTTTGGTGTGACGAGGATTCGAACCCGCGACCCGTAGATTGCGAGTAGAGCGCCCTAACCACCTGGCCATACCGGGCCTCTTGTGCTTCAGAATTGTGCTTCGAATTGTTCATTGATAAATAGTAGCGAAGTGTTGGCGGTGGGCGGTATTGATTAGTCTTCCCTGCAATCGACCATTTTGTGTAACTTGCCAACACATTAACAATCGCATTTCAATGACATTTCCCCCAAATCGCTTTTACATTAAAAATAATTTTACCTGTTTATTAGAATCCGTTATATACTGCATTATTTGTGACAATTGTAACATTGGTGAGACTGGTCGTAAAATCAGTGAAAAAATTTCGCGAACACATACGACATATTAAATCTTAATCTTGACTTGCCAGTCTCAAGATACTTTTCAGACGACAAACACGACTTGTCACATCTCAGGCTTGTTGTTCTATGATCTACACCAACAGACCGTTATTTACATGAACGTGACGAACAACGCCTTATTTGTACTCTAGAAATTTTCTTTTTTGTAATTTTACTTTTCATATCCTCCGACTTTCCCCACTATTACCCCTCACATATCAGTTTTATATTTCTTTATAACATTTGATTCGCCAGTGTTATTACATCATACTTCGAACAATGTTTCGCATGCTCTTCTATTGTTACATTTTTTTAGTGATATTCGGATATTCGACTTTAACAAACATCACCTGAAGAAGGGTCTAGATCCGAAACGTTGTGTCAGATTAATGGTTTCCTACATTTTATTACCATCGTATGTAGTATTTTTTTTCTTTCCTTCTTAACCTTCCCATTAATCTATCAGTTAAAAATTAGGTATGGGTAGCGCAGTTAGCACTCCAGTAGCTTTGCGCGAATTTCAACAAACAAACAAACAGTTGTAATTTTAGGAGAAGTTTTTACACCGGTAGTAAAATATCGCAAGCGTTACGTTACACCGTTAAAAGGAAATAACAAGGCATAGCTGAATCACAAATGTTGAAATTCACTTTGTGCCTCACATTTCATACGTGGTAACTCCAATGTCATGGATTTGCCAACTTCAGAGTTGGCTGTATCAATGAATTAGTCATACCATTAGAGAGGTTGCAGGTAGGGTAGGTCCTGGTATTACTAAATTACTCCTTTGACCTAGAGCCACAGGAGTAAGTATCATATTTGTTGTTACCTATAAAAATATAACAGTACTGTCTGTTGTCTGTCCATATAACTATATCGTAGGGTGTGAATGGATCTTTACCAAATTTGGTTCATTGGGTCCATAGAGTGAGATATATAAAAATTTTCAATTTTGCATTTTGCAATTTTTATGGGCTTTTTTGCGTTTTTTACTACTACTTCGCCCCCTGTTGATGAGTTTTCACCAAATTTAGCATGATGGTTTGTTGGGTCCTTGTGGAGAATCATGCCAACGTGCGGTTTCACATTTTGTGTTTTGCAGTTTTTTATGGGCGTTTTTGCGTTTCTTACAATTACATATAAGGGAAGCAACTTTTCATGTCTTAATATAACCTTTCATTAATCATGAATTTACATAACTTCCGTCCAGGGGACGGGTACTTTAGCTAGTTATTATTATTATTATGAGAAGCATTAGTTAAGAGTAAGTATAGCTAAATTCCTCATCTGTAAATCATAGTTTTGTATTAGTAATATATAAATAGGATTTAAAACGCACCCTATCAGTCAAAAAAAGAGAAATTCATACATACACAAATAAACCGGTTGTACAGTGGTATATAAAAATATATAAAATGTTAAATTTTCGGAATCATCATCACAATACTGGTTAACCCTTGTGAAAATTTGCTTCTCAATTTCTGCGCTTACATCTCACTAATCACTATAAAAACGCGTGCGTGTTATGAATGTACAATTCGGTCTGTGCACTAATTGTGAACACTTAACGTAATAATTTGCAATTAATTGTTTAAAATTGTTTCCTTTTTTTTTGCCCAGAATTGGTGCCTTGTTTAGTACTTGACGCCTAAATAGTAACAATGAATTAGTTAATACATAGCTAGCTTGGTCGGTTGATTCTCCTCGTTGTTTTTTATTTGTTTTGAATTTCGCGCAAAGCTACACGAGGGCTGTCTGCGCTAGCCGTCCCTAATTTAGCAGTGAAAGACTAGAGGGAAGGCAACTAATCATCACCACCCACCGACAACTGTTTGGCCATTTTACCAACGAATAGTGAGATTGACCATCACAATATAACGCCCTCACGGATGAAAGGGCGAGCATGTTTGGTGGGACGGGGATTCGAACCCGCGACCTTCAGATTGCGAGTCAAGCGCCTTAACTACCTGGCCAGGCTGGGTCCCAGAGAAAAAGCATCTACTCAAGACCCTCGCCCCGATAACTCTTAGGCTACTCTAATCGAATAGTGAGGTATGACCGTCAGTCTCATAACTCACCAAGGGTCTCAAAGTACAGGGCACATTTTGAGGCATTGGTACGCTAGCCATGAAAATGCTCGGTCCTAATATTCAGCAAACGATTAAGAAGAAAAATATGCATTATTCCATTTTTTATCATTTGTTCCTTTAACCAAAAACAAACAAACAAACAATTATTTTACTAAATGATCTGTTTTGATCTAAACAGAGATGTACAAAGGAAATTAATAAATCACTCAGAAGTTACTTATAATATATTTTGTGTGTCTGTTTTTACAGGAAATTCCACGTGCTTCTTGGATCGTGGTTTGTTGTTCATTTCAGTTATCCTTTCCGCAGTACCAAATGTGAAATATTGGACGATAAAAGTAGCATTATATATGTATATATGTACAATTATGTTTTATGATCACTAATGTTTCTTGTTTGTTTGTTTTCACTGTGGACAAACAAACAAATTATAAACATTTTAAAGATTTTTCAGTCATGACAAACATGGAATGAGCAAAAGCTGCCCATCTGCAAAATCCCTCGTATGATTTTGTTGTATCTTAATGTTATAGCGTATTTAAAATATATTAAGTTTACGTTAATTACAAGGAATTAACGATGACTTAGCATTTTACATAATGTCTACTGACGACATATGTACTCTATAAAACATAAGTAATTGGTCTCAGCTGACTCTTATTAATAGTCTTGGACTAAACTCATTAAACAAGTGCGCGTCTAATGTTATAATACTGTAACAAAGAAATAAATGCTGCATTCTAATTTTTGATTAAATTATATGGCGGTAACAAGGAGTTAAAGAGAACTGTATAAACTATTTGCTAAATATTTTAAAGTATGTAGCTAAACAAGTGCCCCCCAGTGGCACAGCGGCATGTCTGCGGACTTACAACGCTAGAAACCGGGGTTCGATACCCGTGGTGGGCAGAGCACAGAGAGCCCTTTGTGTAGCTTTGTGCTTAACTTCAAACAAACAAAAAAAAAAACAAGTTAAACAAGTAGCGATTTGCTTCGTCTGCAGGTAGACGAAACAACAGTTGCTGACGGAGATTACTTGATGAGGGGTTTCGTTATTCTGGCACCTTCAAGTGACCAGTGTGAAGGAATTCTACTCGCCCGAGAAATTGAGCAGGTGCCTTGCTCGTGTCAACTTGTCATGCTTAGTTGCTGTGAAACTGGCTTAGGGAAGGTCACAGGTAAGTCGTTTACAAAAGAAATGATTGATATCATTCTAAGTATGTAAATAAATGTGTGTTTCTACATTTGTGTAAATTGTTAAAGTATGTGTGTTAACCCTTTCAAAATACATTAGTCTTATCAACTAGTTTATCTAAATAAAATATGTTTCTACATTTGTGTAAATTATTAAAGTATGTGTGTTAACCCTTTCAAAATACATTAGTCTTATCAACTAGTTTATCTAAATAAAATGTGTTTCTACATTTGTGCAAATTATCAAAGTATGTGTGTTAACCCTTTCAAAATACATTAGTCTTATCAACTAGTTTATCCTTTAGAATCTAGTTTTTCAAGCGTATAAAATGCTATAAAATATCGGTGATAACTAGTTCAAACACTTATATATATGTTCGTTTGGAAAATACACGTTTGGGTGTAAATATCAACAATTAATATTTGCCTTTTGCTCACAGTTTAACATTAATCATACGATTGTTTATGGTGATTATTTTGTAAAGCTGACCTATCTAGAGCTATGTGAAACATGCTTATAAATTATATCGTAGTGAGTATCGAATACAACTGTTGACATACGTGTAAAGTGTAGAGACGGCTGACGAAGAAACTTTATTACAAATTTAACACAGTAACAAATGTACAAAGTTTTGTCAACATTAAGTAGATACAGGATAATATATACAGCAGGAAACATAGAAGTCACAACATGGATTTGCTTAATGGCTTAGTAAGTTTGAGAACAATAATGAACTGCAACTGCCTGTTGAATGAAAAGATGGGACAGAGGCGGTGTTCAGATGACACTTATTAAGTGTGCTTAATAGCTTGTTAAAGCTATCTTGGCACCCCACACAGTGGTGGGCACAGTGCTGATAGCCCATTGTGTAGTTTTGTACTTAAAAAGAAAATAAACAAACATATACTACTTCAATTGAACTTAATTTCATTTTAGGTACATTATGCTAATTGACGATTTGTTTGTTTGTTTTGAATTTTGCGCAAAGCTACACGAGGGCTATCTGCGCTAGCCGTCCTTAATTTAGCAGTGAAAAATTAGAGGGAGGGCAGCTAGTTATCATCAACCCACCGCCAACTCTTGGACTACTCTGTTACCAACGAATAGTGGGATTGACCATCACATTATAACGCCCCTACAGCTGAAAGAGCGAGCTTGTTTGGTGGGACGGGGATTCGAACCCGAGATCCTCAGATTGCGATTCGAGCACCCTAACCACCTGGCCATGCCGGGTCCGTAATTGACGATGGTAACTGTAATAACGAAATTAGTTGGCTGAAATAACTAATAAAAACTTTATCTTTCATTGTGCCAAAATACTTTTCATATATCAATAAAGATTGTTGACACCTGTAAGTCATTTCTTGAGCTAACTAATGTACTCCCAGAAATTACAGAAAAGAAAACTATGCTGTGACAATTGATGATGTGCTCAATAACTACAGGAAATTGGGGTCTAGGATGTCACTTCTTACACCATCATTTAGACTTCTTTCTAAATGATCTAGGTGCAGTGAAAGATGAGCATGGTGAGCGCTTTCACCAAGACATTTCTACAATAGAACAGCCGACATCAAGGACGATGGAAATCCAGCAATGATTGGTGATTACTGTTGGTTCTTATAGCGTTAAACTGAGAACATACACAAAAGGTGCAGCAAGTCAATCAGATATTTTGTAACAAAAAATAATGCCACGATGAAAGTTTTCAACATAACCTGAATGTATTTTCAGATAATTGTATTATACTAATTGCTATTGTAAACTGGAATTGCTATTATGTATTGTTTCTGAACATTCTGAAATGCAATTTTCAATGAATAACTAAAATTATTAAAGAAGAATTTATTTTCACGATATATGATAATATTTTGAATGAATCTATCATATTAAAGGCTATCAGTAATTTTCAACATGATTTTTAGAATCAGCGAAGTCTAGTTACACAAAAACCGTTGCATTTTTTGTAATAACAGAGAAAAAATTGTTTTGTTTCCCGGTGTTATCTGATTCGGTGTGTTTATTCACTTAACGCATGAGCTTCTTCTATCTAGATCAAGGTTTAAATATTGTATACATGTTTATTAATGGTTGGAGACGGCTTGAATGATTAATGAAGAAAACTTTAATATAAGCTTTGAGTTACCGAAAAGCATGTGTACAAAAATCGTGAACTAATATCTCAAATGTTCTATGTGTCTGAAAGAATTTCATAATATACTCTTGTTGGACTTCCAAGCAACTGGATGTGCCCGAAATAATGTTTTATTCAGGGCCTAACATGAAACTACCTACTTTAAAAAATAATGAAAGTGAAAAAGCCTTGAATTTGTAAAGAATAAATAAAATTGTTTGACTACGATGATATATATTCATTTTTTTTATATCTTATATCATTATATTCTTCAGTTTTGACTGCTTTTCTCAATATTTTGTACGTTGAGTTATTTTCCTCGTGAGTATAAAAATAATATGAAGCGCA